TCAGGGTACGTGAGGTTCGGTCAGGGTACGTGAGGTTCGGTCAGGGTACGTGAGGTTCGATCAGGGTACGTGAGGTTCGGTCAGGGTACGTGAGGTTCCCCTGCTGGCTGCAGCACCCGCCTGCTTCAGTTTTATCAGAGGGTTTTCTCACCTTTGGACTTGTCGTTTGACACAATACACCGAAAGTAACGAGCTTCGTTGTTCTCGTGATCCGCAGCTTCACAGAAGAACCGCGGGTCACATCGGCTGAATGGCAGAAACACATTTCCTTAAGAGACCGAGCATGTTGTTGCACCGTGCTCCTGTGCTGTGATTCCACATCACGGAGGGACGCTGATCGCTTGCAAACACTTTGTGTCTCGTTTGGGATCACTTCAGGTGGATTACTGTCAGTTACAGCCTCGTTGTGACAACAGCCTGGCTGTTGGGCTCCGTTGGATTACAGCATCAGGTGTCTCCAGGTGCGCACGTGTTTAGCAAAACGGGCTTGAGTTGGATCTTTCAGAGGTCTACCTACTGGGTTGTCTCACTGGAGTAACTGGTGGGCAGGATGTTGTTGTCTTCCTTTCAGATTTCTGGTGAATTGATTCCCAGGCTTCCTAATCTCCCAGGGCCTCTGGAAGTCAGTACATGTACTCTTTGTGTTTGTGGAGCAGATGTCCATGCAACTTCAAGAAATTATCTTTAAAAATAAGCTGTCTGTTGAACAGATAGCATTTTGTCTCAGCTCAGTAGATTTAAATAGTTTCCTGTCGTACACTGGAGCCTCCATCATGAGATGTACCGTATTTTCTGCCGTACAAGTCGCATCCGTCCAAAAATGTGTAATAAAGTGGAAAAATCCACCGCTGACCACCTGGGCCGGTGTTGTGCCAAAAATCAACTGGCTGCCAAAATGGCGGCCGTGGGAGCGTGCACGTGAGGACGAACAGGATTAACACTTAAAACCAATTTGTTTGCTCCACATTATAGTAAAGGTGCGTCTCAGTTGAACTTTTCCTCAATAAATGCACTTTGATGGTCAAACCAGCTTCATTTCACCTGAGCAGTGAAATGAAGCTGGTTTGACGTTTGCTCCAGGAGTTCCAGAGCGAGAGGTTTGTATGGCAAGCCAAGTGCCTCTTTAATAGCCACTTGTACCTATTAATGAGACACTTGGCTTGCCTTATTAGTCGAGCGCCCTCTAGTGGCTGAACATGGTAGTGCTCAATATTTTCCATGTCAGAATGAATGAAATCATCAGATCTCAAACAAAAATTGGTTATAAATATGGTAAAAAACGTATATTAGTTGCTTTGATGCATCAGTCGCAGGACTTGCAAATATATACAAAAAGGTGCGACTTGTACGGCAAAAATTATGGTATTTGTTTGCTATTGCGTATAATTCTTAAGGAGTAATGAATCGGAGCGTGACGAAATACGGAAATCTGAACTGGCCAAGAAAACGGCGATCGGTGCAAATCTATTTGAATTGAACGACTTGTGTTTTTTTTTACCCTACAGGTGCATGTTGCGGGTGCTGGATTCCTTTGGGACGGAGCCAGAGTTCAACCACGCCCACTACGCCCAGTCCAAGGGCCACAAGACGCCGTGGGGGAAGTGGAACCTCAACCCACAGCAGTTCAACACCATGTTCCGTAAGTCCGCGGTGATGGCTCACGAACAACTCGAGCAGAGCCGAAGCGCCTCTGAGGTGCAGCTGAAGAGTTTCGAGCCCGGCTCTTTTTTTCAGCTGAAAGTTGGAGGTTTTTATTCCGTAAAAATGGCATAAGAGACGATTTAAACATCCTGCTCGGATGGAGAATCAGACGAGTGGGAGGTCAGACAGTCGGCGCTCCTCTCTGCTGTGATTATGTAGAGCGTCGGGCTTTTATGGCTGAAATCAGCCACGTTTCCTGAGGCAGGTGAGTAACGGAGCATGTTGTGAGAGGAGGAAAGGATGCGCCCCCGCAGGGTTCTGACCTTTTCCCCGCGGCGAAGAGAAAGTGAAATGTTACCTCTGCGCCCGCTGTTGGCGCGGTGAGGCCTGCAGAATGCCTCGGCATCTGAATGGGCCCTTTGTCGGCTGAATAAGGCGCGTCTTTCTCACAAAACGCTGGAGGCTTTTGCACAAGATGGAGCTAAGAGTCATCGGGTTAGATGATATCGTGGGGGAAACAAGTGTGCGGCAGTTTGTCTGAGTTCAGACCTCGAGCGGCATCGACCCCAGGCACGAGAAGCTGAAAAAGACCGTTTTTAAAAATGTTCTTGCCGCTTCACAGGATCGCACCTTAAGGCTGAAGAGGAGCTGCATCAGTTTGAATATTAAGTAATGATCAGGTTTTTGTTTGAGCTTAGATTATCATTTTTAAGGATGCACATACTGGATTTGTGGCTGATATCCGATATGCCGATATATTGGTCGATAACCGATACCGATATTTCCCCTAGACCTCCTTCCAGAGACTACAGAGCTCTCTGCTGTGGAACTAAAACACATTATTCTGCAGGTCTTTGTCAGTTTGGCCTGTTTCCAAATTCAGAAGACAGAAAGGGCTGAAAATGTTGCAACACTTCCACTTGGATTATGTTTAATGTTAATTTTATTCATGACATTTACTCTAACACAATGACGACACTCGCAGTGCAAGTTCGTACCTTTTCACAAATCTGAACTCCACTGTTCACAAGTCATAAGTAGTGCATTAATAGATATACTTGACAGTTTCTTAAATTAAAAATTAACTTAAAACAGAAGCTTTTTGTATCATTGAGTTATTTTGATGGACTGTCCGATATTTAGCTTTATCGCTGATATCGGCCGATACCGATAATACTGTGCATCCCTAATAATTTTACATTAAAATTGAAAGTTTTGAACATGTTTTCAGGATTTGCAGCCAGATGATCAAACCAGGTGTCTGAGAGATGATTGATCCTTGCTTTGGGCTGGTCCCTTTGTTTCCATTAAGGCTTAGTTCCATCATGGAGGGACCTGGGCGTGTGCGGTCCATGTCCAATAAGACCAGCCGGAGCCAAATGGACCTCGTTAATCAATACCAGGGTTTGAATTGAGACCAGGGGGTCTGGACTGGTCAGTTTGAGTTTCTGGGTCTATTCATTTTAAGCTCGGTCCAAAGGTTGTTGGATATTTTTGAAGGTCTGAACGTGCGGAGGTTCACGTTCTGTCCAGGCTGGTCTTTGAAAGAAATGTCAGCAGAGTCCCTTCCTGCTCCTGAACGTTGAATGTTTGTAGAGATGGAGAGTAAAAGTGCTCGGACGATGAACTCAGCAGATAAGAAACAGAAGTCGTCGGATTATTTTTCATCTGTGTGAGCTCAGAAGACCCGTTTTATTTAAGGTGAATTTAGTGTAACATTTAAATTTGGAAACAAAATATGTTTTGTCAAATCTCACATGTCCTTCATCCAGTCAGTTTTATTTAGTAAACACAACGGTTAAAATTAAACCATTCGGTCGTCTTAAATGAGCCAAAATAATCTTCAGATTTCCACACAAGTCCTACAGGCAGATCAAGAGAAGCCAGTTTAACAAGAGACAGAAATATTAGACTTGGTCTTTTGTTTACTGAGGAAAATGATCCAGTGTTACACGTTTGTGTTAAAGTCTGTGGACGTCGAGGATCAGTAGTTAGCTTGAAGGTGAAATTAGAGTCAGGTGTTTCAGTTAGTGGGATGAGGATCAGGTGTGAGTGGACCCGTCTGATTTAAAGACCAGGATCTATCAGAGTCTGCTCTTCACAACATGTTGGTGGAAGTGGATCATGGCAGGAACTAAGGAGATCTCTGAGGAGCTCAGAGAAAGAGTTGTTGATGCTCATCAGGCTGGAAAAGGTTACAAAACCATCTCTGAACAGTTTGGACTCCACCGGTCCACAGACCGAGTACAAATGAAGGGAACTGAAGAGCATTGGTCCCTCCCCAGGAGTGGTGGACCAACAAAGATCACTCCAAGTGCGCGGGACTGTGTGCGAGTTCACAAAGGACCACAGGGTAACCTCTAATGGACAGCAATGGTGTCAGGCAGGGTTGAAGGAGGAAGACGCTGCTCTCCAACAAGAACATGCTGCAGTTTGATGAAGATCACGTGCATGAGCCTGAAGACCGTTGGAAGAATGTTTTGTGGACGGATGAGGCCAAAATAAACTTTTTGGTTTAAATGAAAGAGTTCTGTTTAGAGACAGGACAACAGCATTCCTGCAGAAGAACCTTATCCCATCTGTGAAACATGGTGGTGGTAGCACCATGGTTTGGACCCGTTTTGCAGCATCTGGACCAGGACTTCTTGTCATCATTGATGGAACAATGAATTCTGAACAACACGGGGAACATGAAGCTTTATGTTTGGCTCTAAGTGAGTTCTTTCCGACACTCGGTTGTTTGCAGGTGTTTAAACATGACGGTGGCGTGTGCAACATGTACTGCTCCACCCGGGCTGCGCCTGACATCCTGTACTGCAGGTAGTCTGCATTATTCAACCTCACTGAGAGACCGACGCAATGCCCGAACTGTTCCACCAGCCGACGCCGGCTGTTTTAAAGTAGCCGAAAATCAACAGAGACGTTTTCTGTCCTTAAGAGTCAGAAGACGCCTCTGCTCGGCTTTAGCTCCCAGACTAACGGAGACAGTTCGGCTTTATTACGAGACAAATGAGTCCCCCGGCTCGCGGGTTCATCAAGAGCAACAAAGCAGCTGCTCCTCCTGCGGCGCTGTCCTCCCAGGCCGTTAGCTAACGGCGACTGAAGCTGCGGCGAGCTGACTGACACTTTGAGTGGCGGCTCTGGTGGGAGAAGAGGCATCTGTTGCCAAGCGCATCAGAGAGTTGAGCACTAATTACCAGCCTGTCCTGTGTACGCGGCCCCCTCGTGCAGCTTCTTGTTGTTTTACTAAACGCCACAGCTGCCGCTTGAGCAGAAGAAATGCAGCTTTTTTTTCTGTGATCGTCTGAATGTTTAGAAATGTAGGTTTATAGATCGGCCTGTTTCTCTTGTTCCTTTGGGGTCTTCTAATGACGCTTGTCAGAGATCGGTGCAGAACTTGAATCTTCAACCTAAAAGTAAAAGAAACATATTAACAAAAATGGATGGAAGTAAAAGAAGTGATGCAAATGTCTGATAACGACATGAGCGGCTTTTTTGTTTTTGTTTGGGTCTTTTAAATCTAGAAAAAAATTAATTGTTCCCTCGTCCATCGCCACTCCTACCTTTACATTTGTAGTATCTGTAGTAGTATCTATAGCTATAGTAGTATCTATAACTATAGTAGTATCTATAGCTATAGTAGTATCTATATAGTTATAGCTATAGTAGTATCTATATAGTTATATATAATAGTATCTATAGCTATAGTAGTATCTATAACTATAGTAGTATCTATAGCTATAGTAGTATCTATATAGTTATATATAGTAGTATCTATAGCTATAGTAGTATCTATATAGTTATATATAGTAGTATCTATAGATATAGTAGTATCTATAGCTATAGTAGTATCTATAGCTATAGTAGTATCTATATAGTTATATCTATAGTAGTATCTATAGCTATAGTAGTATATATAACTATAGTAGTATCTATAGGTATAGTAGTATCTATAGCTATAGTAGTATCTATATAGTTATATCTATAGTAGTATCTATAGCTATAGTAGTATCTATAGCTATAGTAGTATCTATATAGTTATAGCTATAGTAGTATCTATATAGTTATATCTATAGTAGTATCTATGTCTATAGTAGTATGTATAGTAGTATCGGTACCACTTTACAATAAGACTCCTCTTATAGATGACTAATAAATAGTTTGTAGCTAACTTATTAATTCCTCAATAAAAACTTTATAAATTGATAAATATATTTCATCTAGAGTTGTTTTACTAAACATTTCAGACTAAGTTACTACCTTGTAAGCACAATAAACATTTGTAAACATGTTTCTTTAGCATATAATACTATGGGGACCGAGATGAGGTAGAGCTAGGTCAGTCGACTCGGGACCTGAAAGTCCCAGGTTCGATCCCCAGCCATCCCCACATGTCGTGTTGTCTCTGAGCAAGACACCCAATCCCTAATTGCTCCCCGGGCGCTCACAAAGCTGCCCACTGCTCCACCTGGGTCTATCCCAGGTGTGACGGGTTGAATGCAGAGAACTAACTTCACCACATAACAACACATAGCACTTTACTTAATATTGTACTTTATCACTACATTATGAGTATCTACAACTAATATTACATCCTAAAAAAATAGGTTTACAAATACTTATTGTGCTTACAAGGAAGTAACTTGGCCTGAAATGTTTAATAAAACGACTCTAGATGAAATATATGGTGAACAGATGTGGCTCACTATTTGGCAACAAACTGGTCAGTTTTGTCTCTGTCACTCTTAATACATAATAAACAATTGTTAATGTTTTATAAAGTGTTTATAGAGGAATTAATAATGTATCTATAAACTGTTAGCCATCTATAAGGGGTACTGTGGTACCGTATTATCTATAGGAATAGTATTATGAACTCCATCTGCTTGTTTCAATGAAACAACACGACTGGTTCAGAAGTATTTAAATTCAAATACAAAAGTAATTAGTGATGAGTAACGACAGCAGCAGAGTGGGACATGTGGTCAGTCTGTCCTCCAGCAGTCTGAGCCTATAGCAGCAGAACTAAGGGACAGCTCAGGAAACCCAAGCCGACCCTAACTATAGGATTTATCAAAAAGGACAGACTTAATCAAAAGTAGACAATATGTCGACCTCACAGACCTAAACTGTAAGTTGGATCTACAAGAGAGGAGCCTGATAAGCTAAAGCTCTGCCTCACATTTTAGAAACTCTAGGAACCACAAGTAAACCTGCAGTCTGAGAGAGAAGTTCTCCGTTCGGAGAATATGGAGCATTAGGATCTTTAATGTACGATGGAGCTTCTTGTTAAAGGGTGGCTCACTTGTAGAGCTGTTGCCTCTCAGCGAGAAGGTCGCTGGTTCAAATCCTTTCTGGGTGGAGTTTACATGTTCCCTCCATGCATGCTTACGTTTTCTCCGGGTACTCCAGTTTCCTCCCACAGACCAAAAACATGCATGTTCGACTGATGGTGACTCTAAACTGTCCCTAGATGAGAGAGAGAGTGACTGGTTGTTTGTCTCTATGTGTCCCTGTGATGGACTGGAGACCTGTCCAGGGTGTCCCCCGCCTCTCGCACAGCGACTGCTGGACATGGACACCAGCGACCCAAAAAGGAAGAAGCGGGTAGAGATGGTGGATGGAGCTTCTTGTTAACGTTTTGTTCTTTAAGGCCAGCGGATGTTTGAAGCGACACCCCCACAGATCTGATCACAGCCTCGCTGTAACTGCTTTATTACGGTTTATACACACTCGCCATGCAAAGTGGACCAACTGCTCTCTGCGTGTAAAAAGTCCTCATGTGTCCAACAAGAACAGGGTTTGAATACATTGGATTATATTTGCAAACCGGATTTGTAATCAGACTTTGTGAAGGTAAAGTTGGTTGTAATTTGCCTCCGTGAGATTAAGATTACAAGCTTCTCTGCAGGAAACGGGTTAAAATCCCAGAAGCGTATTTGTTTTTGATATGGATCAAGTTAATGTAGCGTATTACAAAAAGCATTTGTCCCCGCGCACGTTTCTGACACGCCTGAGTAATTCTGGTACTCGGACGGTAACTGAGCTCATTTTGCAGCGCGCTTCCTTTAAGTGTTTTCCTAAAGGTGTTCAACTCGGCTGCCTGTACGGAACAAACACGGGCTTATTTAGGGTTTCCATTCCAGCCAGTACCTCGGCCCTCCCAACACCCTCACTGACCGCCTTCCTATGGCTGCCACCAAGATGTTGTTGCAAGTTGTCCTCAGTCACGGTGAGTTCATGGGTTTGTGGCCCATTCGGGCAAAACGAGGAGTTTTCCAATAACGAGACATTTTTAAATTCTTCATCTTAAAAGCTTCAAATCGATCCGCAGTTTGTTGGAAGTGCCCGTTTAGAAACAGGATATTTTTATTGGTTTAGGGCGACGTCATTGAAAATCGTCTAGCTTCACAATGGCGTCAAACATTATACGATGGGATTTCCAGGCGCTCCAGCAGAATGTTAAAAAATGGCCAATTCAAAAGGAAAATCAAAGGATTGTTTCTGAAGATATACCTGTTAAAAACATCAATATAAAGGTAGATTAGGATTACTTTAATTTGCAGTTACCAGGATTGCTAAATGTCATTTTCAGGAAAATTTCAAGTGCGGCAGCAGTGAACGTTTTTACGTTTTTAAGTTCTTTGCATTCAGTCTCATTTTGCAGCACAGTAACATTTGCAGAGATAATCTAGTTTAAACTCCTTTTTTAATCTAGAGGTGAACCCGACTCCTCTGACTGCCTGGCCTCGGTTTGCCACTCTGGCGTTAGAAAGCTAACCACAGCAGCGCCAGTAAAAACCCCAACACCCCCACCCCGCAGGCTCTTTCCCCCTCCGAGCCGACGGCAGCGTCTGCTCGACTGAAATTAATAAGGCGTTTCCCTTCTGACCGGATCGGTCCAGTGAGTGCACCCCAACGCCGTCTAGATGTTTTACAAGACGGATGGTAGAGGGTTCTACGCTCGCACTGGTCGTCTTGAGGTTCCCGTAGTAACCGTCCACCAGTCAGCAGCTGGAAACAAGAGGGCCCACAAACTGTTTGTTGAGTCCAGCTGTGGTACCGATCTGGTCCCGCTTCAAGGCTTGAACTAGAGCCAGATCTTTAAAAATACAATTAGGAACAAGCTTCACAGAGCCAAGTCCGAGCCGCACCATTATATCCCATTTAGGATCAGTGGTGAGAATTAAACCAGAGCTGATGGACCGAGAGGGAGGTTCAAGGTTCTTTGTCATTCACACCACATGTGGTACATGAGGTGGAACAAGGTTATGTTCACAGGGTCCCAGTTACATCCAACAATAAAATGTATAAGAAAAACAGTAATAACATCGAAGATATGAACTAAGAAAAACATCAACTAAATATACACTAAGCACTCACAGAATAAAAACAATACATTGATCAGCAGCACGAACATGAGTCTGTGTGAGCAGATGAGCACGCATCAACATGAAACAGATCAGCATCAACATGAAACAGATCAGCAGCAACATGAAACAGATCAGCATCAACATGAAACAGATCAGCAGCAACATGAAACAGATCAGCAGCAACATGAAACAGATCAGCAGCAACATGAAACAGATCAGCAGCAACATGAAACAGATCAGCAGCAACATTGAAACAGATCAGCAGCAACATGAAACAGATCAGCAGCAACATGATATGGTTTTTCACAGTGATTCTCCTGGTTAGAGATTCATGAGTCTAACAGCCTCAGGGTAGAAGCTGTTCCTCAGTCTAGTGGTTCTACACTTAATGCTCCTCAACCTCCTTCCTGAGGGGAGTGGGGCAAAAAGTGTGTGTGCTGGGTGAGTGGGGTCCTTCATGATGCAGGTGGCCCTCTTCCTGCATCTGGAGGTGTAGATGTCTGTGATGGTGGGGAGACTAACTCCAACATCTTCTGTGCAGCCTTCACCACTCTCTGCAAAGCTTTTCTTTCTGCAGCTGTGCAGCCTCCATGCCACACGTTGATGCTGGAGCACAGGATGCTCTCCACTGCACACCTGTAGAAGGAGGTGAGGACTGAGCTTCCCAGACCAGCTCATCTCAGCCGTCTGAGGAAGTAGAGTCTCTGATGATCTTTCTTGATCAGGCTGGTGGTGTTGTTGCTCCAGCTGAGGTTGTTGTTCAGGTGCACACCCAAGTACTTGTAGCTGGAGACCACTTCCACCACAGATGCTCTTATGTTCAGGGGGGTGTAGATGTTTTTGTTCCTTCTGAAGTTCACAACCATCTTCTTCATCTTCTTCACATTGATGTGAAGGTTATTCTCTCTGCACCAGCTCTCCAGGTGTTCCACCTCTTGCCTGTAGCTGGACTCATCATTGTTTGCGATGCATCCCACCACCACTGTATCATCTGCAAACTTTACAATGTGACAGCCTGGATGGGTAGCTGCACAATCATATGTGAGCAGAGTAAACAGGAGGGGGCTCAACACACAGCCCTGAGGAGAGCCAGTGCTGAGGTTTAAGCCCCCAGCATACTTGGGCGTACATCAGTCCGCGAAGGTCCGAGCATTCTGGATTAGAGTCGAAGCGTACGCCTGCAGGGCATGTCCGTGCAAAGCTCAATTTTTACGTACGCGTACTCTGCGTCGCACAATAAACTGCCGGCGACGGACTGTTTTGTATGCGACACCAATGTATTAAATTCCCCTTCTTCATCCCTGATCTGGCCTTTTCTTTAGTTTTTTTTCCAAGAGGCAGTGATCTCTTCCTCGGCCGTTCACTGAAATGGTGAGAAATGAGGGAATTTGTCACAACAGAATTAAAATCAGGTCCAGTTTGGCTGTGGGAGGGTCTGGAGATTTCCTGGTGGGCTGGTCTGGTGTGTGGGCTGCAGGGCCTGCGCCCCCTGTTTTTTATTTTATTTTTTAGAACTTTTTATTAACAACATATAAAAACAGAACATCGCTGCAGCTGAGGCTTTTGTTTTGCTTTTTGCAACCTGTCAATCAATCAGTAGGTGTGTCAGCAAATGACCAGTTGGCGATCTCATTTTGCCCCGAAGGTAAACGCCCCTTGTCTGTGGGGCTGACAGCAGCGGCTCAGGGAGGACACTCGAGTATAGAAACATGTCGCCTCTTAGTGTTTACCTTATTGATGAATACATTTAAGGAAAAAATTAATTTAGTGCAAGAAAGTGATGATTGTTTTCTCATCACTTCTGATTTTCTTGGACGCCTCTCTGAAATCCTCTAATCCTTTTGTTGCAGCTCACACCCCCGACAACAGCTTCCTGGGCTTCGTGGTGGAGCAGCACCTGAACGCCAGTGATATCAAACACATCGACGATATCAAGAGGCAGAACCAGTCGCTCGTCTACGGCAAAGTTGATAACTTCTGGAAGGTACTGTGATCTTTTTATTTCTTCCATAGCTCACTTGGACTCTGAAGCACTCTGTCATACTTTAACTCAGCTGAAAGTAGCTGATCTGCAGCTTAAAGTAGCCCATCTGTAGCTGAACGTAGCCCAACTGTAGCTGAACGTAGCCCAACTGTAGCTGAACGTAGCCAAACTGTAGCTGAACGTAGCCAAACTGTAGCTGAACGTAGCCCAACTGTAGCTGAACGTAGCCCAACTGTAGCTGAACGTAGCCCATCTGTAGCTGAACGTAGCCCAACTGTAGCTGAAGGTAGCCCATCTGTAGCTGAACGTAGCCCATCTGTAGCTGAACGTAGCCCAACTGTAGCTGAACGTAGCCCATCTGTAGCTGAACGTAGCCCATCTGTAGCTGAAAGTAGCCCAACTGTAGCTGAACGTAGCCCAACTGTAGCTGAACGTAGCCCA